GCCTCTGTTTCTTCCTTTAGCATAATTTTCACTGCTGCTGTGTTACAGTTCGGTCTGTTATTGTTGGCGTTGATGAACTTTCGATAACAGACATGGCTAAACTATTGTTTCCCCTATGTTGCATTCTATACTCGCTTACCACATGGCTGCTGTTTTTAGCAGCGCAGGCCATAGTCTTTATGCAACAGATGTTCAACTGCATCATATACACCATTTTGTTGCAATTCAACCTACCTGCACCCTACTGTACCCTTTCAAGTGCATCATGCACCAAATGTGCCAGTCATATAGAATAGCTAGCACAAAATGTACCTTGACACCAAACACTTCAATTATTCATATTGCCGTGGAACCCACTCCCACCCCTCATTTCACCTGTGTGCTTTTCCTCGTTATAATCAGCCTAAACAAAAAAAAGTGCCGCCATATCCACGAAATGAATGATGATGAGTGGGCGAAACTCTGGAGGAAAACCTGGTAAACCATGAATCTTCCGTACATTTTGCCTACTCGATTTTATTACAATGCTCCCCCTAGCGTACGTCGCCGCACTAAATCGAACGATTGCCTTCCGCCAATGACACGTGCCATATGTGACATCATTCCTATTTTATAACATCTCGCATCTTTCATCATCAACTACAAGTACCACCGTCTAGTTTATAACATCTTGCATCTTTTCATCATCAGCTACAGGTCCCGCCATCTAGTGAGCACTGAAAGAACTAAACGAGAGGAGACATACGGGAGACGGTACCGCCATCTAGTGGACACTGCAAGAATTAAACGAGAGGTGGCTACATACAGGGGACGCACAGCCCACGCCTTAAGGAGCTTCGCCCCTAATATGTGCCCATGATTTCTTTTATTGATGGTTCAGCAGTTCAGCATGTTGTCTATACTCTGGAAGCTCACGATTCCTAATCAGGAGCTATAATACATAGGTGTTATTCATTTATTCTTATTTTATTTTACTAAGTGATGTGGGAATTGAGGCTAGCCTGCCGCTATTGCAGGGGCTTTGCCACCTATTTCTGCGGTTCTCATGCTCTGACATGACTCTCCCCTCCTCTGCGGTCTGTCCCGCTGGGGGAGCGGGAGTGAGTATTAATCCCTCTCACCCGGTAGCGGATGTCAACTGTGGCGCCTTGCGCAGAGTCTCTTGGGACTTTTCGTGCGCACGCGTCGAGAATAAGTCGGAATCTCTCCGGGATGATTTAGGGTGAGCACGCATTTCTTTTCCGGCCATCAGCTCCTATTGTGTGGGGCTTGTCAGACTTCGCCAACGGTGCTTTGTGCTCGTGGCGAACGCTCTCCTTTTGTTGCCCCTTTCAAACGCTAGGCCGAAGAGCAGTGCGGTGTCTCTGCACGTGGTCGTACTACGTCGACTCGTATCTCTTGAAGCCAACGCGAGCGGAGTTTTGCCCTCGCTCGAGTGACCGGGCCCTGTTGTACCAATGTCACCGTGAATCACTTTTGCCCTTGGAGACGTGCTCGCGGCACCCTGTGTAGTACTTCTCGCCCATGGCGTGGATAAGCCCATTTGCATTCCTGCCGCCCCAGTAAGGTGTAGACTACAGTGACTATGCTTATACAGTTGAACCCCTTATAATAGACATGCTCCGGGCAGCAATTCTTGTCTATTATATGAAGGCTCTCTTCTTAGCAGGGTACCACATATGACTTTTTCTATCAGCCCCTATTTCAATATAAACGCACTAGTGTCTCTTATATTCGTTTGTCTCTTACATCAGTGTCTTTTATAAAGGGGTTCGACTGAAATGTACTATCAGCGTCAAATGAAACCCAAACAGCGGCAAGCCTTTGCAATGGTATAGTGGGCGCTGTCCAGCTATCATCACAGACAGGCACGCATATATGCGCAGAGCTGCTGAACAGTGCGCAAGCGCCTGTCAACGGTGATAACTGGACGGCGCACACTACACTGTCGTGAAGGCTTGCCGCTGTTCGGGTTTCATTTAACGCTGGTAGTACATGCCTGCAATGTAGCTACTGTAATTGCTTCCTGCAATGTAAAGGCCTTCATGCTTCATATATTTTAACGGTAGTAAATTTGGGGGTTTTAAGTGTTAAGCTCTGTGCGATATCCCTTGTACTAATTGTGCGCATGTGTGTACATGGTGCTAGCCTAAGTGTGCGAGAATGCATCAGGCACAAAGTGGTGCCAATTGCATATCGAAACGCTCTTCAATAGTCTTCATTGCAGAATTGGCAATGTGGCGACAAAGCAGCATGCATAAAAACTGAGCCTTGTGGGGAAACCAACAAGCTTAGTCGCACTAGGCCTGCAACGATTCCAAACTGATTCCCATGCATTTTTTACAAATTTTGCTTGTGAGTGGACTCCGTGAATCCACTGTGTGTCCGCTTATTGCTTTGACTTGGAGCCTAGCTATGGCACAACTTCCTCGCTCACAGAATAGAAGTGTGGTGGCTGCGTTAAAGCTGCGATGCAAAATTTTTCTAAATAATACATTGTGTAAACAATTGGAAGGAAATGGTATGTAGCTAACACTAGCAGAACCGAGATACACCCTTTGAACAAGTTAGAAAACCAGTCCCAGTACCGTACAAGGGTGGTAACGGTGGGGGCTCTATTATGTGGTCATTCCCATTTCCCACAAAGGTAGAGGGAATGGTGTCATTCGTAGAAACTATGCATTACTAATTCCAATACAACACACATCTTGTGTGTTGCGGTGAAACCTGCATGAATGAAAGATCGGCAACAGATCAAGGGAAATTTTTTTTTTTTTTTACACTAATAAAACCAGCATTATGTCTGTTGTGGACCTCTTGCTGTGTATTCTTGCTGGTATGTATATGTCGGCATGCCATATGAACAATCAATTTGGCTAATAGTTTAAAACAAATAGTGCAACCAAAAAAGGTGTAAAGGATATTATTTTGTCGTCTTTTTAAGTGTAGTGTAGTAACTGCACCATTAATTTAAACAAATTAAAACAACCGTGACATTGCTGTCTTGACGCAGGTGAGTACAGTCGCACAAATGTTTGCTCTAAGAGTATTTCCTGCTCGGACATTTCTTCAGGTTTAGAAAGCGTACCTTCATGCATCATACAGTCGATCCCGGATATATATAGAAATATTCGTTATATCGAACAGTTGAAAAATCCCCTTGAATTTCCTATGCAGGAACCGGTGCACCCGTATATCGAACTCCCACACAACGGGACATCTGTTGTATCGAACGCTGCGCCGCGCCGAAGCCCAGAAAGTGCATTTTTCCTAGCAAATATTGATCCATTTTAGGCCACATTCTAACAAGCTCCGATCCTTTTTCGCGCGCAGGCTACGAAAACAACCGTGTCATTTAATCGCGCTGATCTGGTTCGTTGCGCGAACTGCAGTTCTTACCGCGTGAGCATAGTGTTTTCCAAAAGACCAATTGCAGAGGGCACTGAAAGGGAATGCTATGCGACTCTGTGATCTCAGTGCAATGTTCGCATGTGGTTCTCATTCCCTTCCTTGTTTGCTAACGCACAATGGCATGCGAGCCTGAAAAGCATGGCCTTCGAAATGTGCAACCTTGTGATGTACTTTTTAAGTGTTTTCGGTTTCAGAACGCTTGTCTCAAAGGCCAATTTTTTTTAATCGTTTTACATTATAGCCACTAACAGCAGCGGCTTTACATTATAGCCACTAAAAGCAGCGGCTGCGTGCTACAAAACCAGTGACATCGATATCGTCGACAGTGAGAACTCCGGCGAACTCGGCGTTGCATCTTTCGAGCCTTGTGGCCTTCTCGCCTCATTCCTGATAAATCCTCATTTAGAAGTTGAATTGAACGTTGACCCGCACGTAGCGATGAAAATTGTGGCTGGTGCTTGGAGTGACCTCAAGTAAAGCACTGTTATAAATGGTCCTTGCGGGTTGGGTGACGACTTCAGGTACGTCATGGCCGCCGACAACGGCGTCCGATGCCTAAGTGAATTCTGCGACTTATCAGCGTTTCCAGGCACCATCTCGGACAGCAGCGACTTCATCGATACAGATGACGACGTTTGTCTGCATCAATGCCGAAATTTTGGCTGCCGGTGCCGCGGAAGTGTGTCCGTGCGGTTATGAATGTGCGAACGCCTTCGCTTCGGCCGCTAACCAAGCTTTTGCCGCGCTACAAAGCTTGCATCGGTATTGTGCGTCAATCAACGTTGTGGCTGAGGGAACTCGGTTTGCTTATTTGAAGAGCTTTAATGATATTGTAGCAATATTAAGGATGACTAGAACTTGACGGCGTGCAATAAGCAAGACAAGTTTACGGAATAAAGTGGACGCCTTCGCCGCTAACCAAGCTTTTGCCGCGCTACAAAGCTTGCATCGGTATTGTGCGTCAATCAACGTTGTGGCCGAAGGAACTCAATTTGCTTATTCGAAGAGCTTCAATGATATTGTAGCAATATTAAGGATGACTAGAACTTGACGGCGTGCAAGAAGCAAGACAAGTTTACGGAATAAAGTGGAGTAACCTGCAAGCTCGCACCTTCTTTTTGAGCGAATTGTTATTTTAGCTCTTGATATGATTTCTGAGGCCTCAAATTCAATTTACGTCTTAAATATGCATATTTTGTTTTTAGAATTCTCGATATATCGAACTATTTTGGGACCCCCTTCGAGTTCGATATATCCGGGATCGACTGTATACCCTCCCTCCCTTCCTCTATAGCAAGTTTCTTTTCCACTGCGACTCTAGTGCCACTGAGAGTTTATACTGGCCAATCTTGTTTGCACTAGAAAGAGCTAACAATATTGCAGTATTTCTGTTTGGCATTATATGTTGTGTTTATATGTATTTAGCTAACGATAGTTTCTTCGTTTTTGCTAGAATCCCCTGGCTCTTCCTTGTGAACAGTTCGTTAGTAAATTGCCAAGTTTTTGCAGAGCTGCCTAGTGCCATTTGTTTTGTTTTTAAAGTTTTTAAAGTACATTGGGAGACAAGTGCATCTTTGTTTTGCTTTTAGGCTGTGGGCGTGGACTCCAGCAAGCCTATGGGCACTGTCATATTTGAAAACAAAAACTTCAAAGCAGAAAACGCAGCTCTGGACAAGTTCGAGTCTCAAACCAAGTCACAGGTAGTGCAGCCATTCTGTTTTTGTTTCTCATTATAGGATTGACACTTCTGATTAGGATGCGATTTCATAAAGTGTTAGTAACTTGGCATTAAATTTAATGGCATTTTGCTCCATGTCAATATATTGTGTTTTTATCAGTCAGCAGCGCGTTGCCTTCTTTGTGCAGGAACCAGGCTGTTCAAATGCTCCCATGCTGCCACCAGTTGCTTCAAAGGCACCAAATGACACAGTTGAGCCTAGCAAATGCAAGGTGTGTGCAGCACTTGAGATTCAAATTACATGGTTTGTGGCAGAATTAACATCTGGCTTAAATTTGTTTGTTGGTTTTCTTGGAAAGTTTAACAAAATCTCACGTGCATGGACCACTTTTCTCACACCAGTGATTTCCCCACTGCATCTTGTGGAAGCCCCCCCCCCCCCCCCCCCCTTCTATTGGGCGCGAGGGCATACCGTGGCGCCACCATGCGGACGCATCCCTGTGACGTACGTGGTTGGATTGCTCCGCCAGCCTTCTTGCGCGCAGCCCGCAGCCGCTTTCGCCTCTCCTTTTTTTATTCTTATTCTTGTCGTACTTCCCTCAAGGGAGTCATAAAAATTCTGGCGCAGCTTCTTTACTCACTGCTCGAAATGCTAAATAACTGCCCCGAAAAAGTTTTACGCTTCTCATAATGCCTGACTGCCAGTGTCGTCCGCTATGGCCACATATATGAAAACCACGGTGGCCGAGCGTGCTGCTTTCGTGAAAGGTAACGACTCGTTCTGTGCCGAATTGAAGCATCAAATGGGTATTCATGCATGCTTGTGACAAAGAGTCTTATTTTTGCTGAAAGAAGGGCGCGTAACCATACTTCTCCATTCATTGTATAGGTTTGTATCTAAAGACGGGCCCCACTTGACACGACAAGGATGCGCAAATCAGCGTTTTTGTTTAGCACACATAGCCTTACGAAGCACAGTGCAAGTGGATTCCCCGCTTTGTGAAGTGCAACACAGCATTCTTACCACCGCAACTTTTCTGTTGTGATACCGGGCAAACGAGTGAGTCACGCGCACACATTCGCCTCATTCAGAGTTGTAACTAAAGGTGAAATTTCACTCGAGGAAAAGTTTCTCTGCGGTATGATCTTAATATTTATTGCAAAAATTTTGTACAGTTGTCGCCATCGAGCCACACGAGTGAAAATTATGAATGATTGGCTCAGTTAAACAGCTTCTACAAAGAGGTTTTACGATAACGAACAGGGGCGGGCAGTATGGTCGTCTCTTATTTTGTGCACTACATACCATATAGTTTTGGGGGGGGGGGGAGCACGGGCTTGATGTGTCACCCCCTGGCTACACTGCTGGCGTATGGAAACCCGTGTGGTCGAGTACACACGGGGACCGACACTCGGGGAGGAGAGCGTGGGGTGGCGCAGACTGTGTTAAAAGTTACCTTGGAGAGAGAGAAGTATCTTTAGCACACTGAAGCGGCACATGTATGATGTTGATGCAAGAAAGAAGGTTTCGATGAACGCACTGGCCGAACACTCAGAAGCAACTGGCCACGAAATAGACCAAAATATGGTTAAATTAACAAAAATTAAAAGAAAGAACTGGACTTCCGGGCTTTATTTCGACTGATAATTCAGACGACGGCGCTCACTATTAAGTGTAATGACAGCAACTTCACCCACGAGTACGCATGTACGTCGTATTTTAAAATATATATAATCGGACTGTTTGCACATTCATTTTTCCTTGTGAACAAGGCTCCCGTGCGGTAACTGAAACGTTCTGCTTTCATGTGAACAATCGTGGTCGGTGCTCATTTTAAACTCATGGGCTTGAATCAACAGCCACAGCAACATGAAAAGAGAGAGGTGACAAGGGTACTGCCAGCAGCCGTGATATGCAGTGTCCTCGCGTACGTAGCGCGCTGTGGCGCACCGCCTATAATTTTCGCTGAAACTTTCCGGATTTTGTAGTCTGTAGAAGTCCGCACACATGAAGTAAGAACAAAACAGCGCTGTTTAAAAGTGAAAACAACGCGAATTTGCAATTAAAAACAATGCCCCCAACCGCCAGCTTTCCTTCACCAGAGAGGCGAGATCACGTGATCCAACCCTGCACGTCACCGCAATTGCAGTGCTCGTTCCTCCAGTGGTGGGCCTCGCGCCCAATAGATAGTTGTAGGCTGTGGGTTATGAGGCATAACATTGCTGTAATAATCTTTGAAAAACATATGTCGTGTTCAGGTACGTTCACTGCGGTGGAAAGCATTTGAAAAAAGAAAAGTAGTTGTTGGAACAAAATCTTGGCTAGAAAAACTTGCAGGAGCACCAACTTGGTAATGCGAATATCATCGCTTGTGCTACGTTGTCTTCACATAAGTTTCAAGTTAAGTATTTGTACTTTCTCGGCTCTGGGTTATTGCGATGTGCTTTTAAAACTTTTGTTTGTTGTACTTTATAGCACAAAAGATTTAAAATGAGTTTTAGAAGTATTGTTTTCAATTTTTAAAAAAATGTGTGGTGCAATAAACGGGAATTACCTTGTAACAGTGGGCTTGGGTGGAAGTTCCTAGAGCATAGACTCTTCTGAAATCTGTAATATGTACCAATTTTAACCTTATATTTTATGAATCTTGCCAGAAATTTGAAATAACGGGGCCTTTGCGATTAGCCTCGGCGCATTGCGTAGTGAGTTGTGGAAGCCACCAAAACAGTGTGCTGTGTTCCGCTGCTATGATAGGACGGTACATACTCCTGTTGTTATTATTATCATCGTCATAATCAGGAACAGCTTCATCATTTAGCAGAATGGCTAGATTTAGTGAATTTAACCTCCTGTCGTTTTTTCGGAGGTGTTACCCTTTCTCTTGTATCCATACTGTATCCATGCCTCCTCACACGTGGCAGTGGGCATTGCGCTCAGGCTGGTGGTTGTTTTTATTGTGTCGCTTTTCGTTAAACTGGCTGCCGTGTCCCACGTAGTAGGACTGCTGTCCACACCACACAGACACGCACACACACACACACGGGTGCCTTTGCTACCCGCGTCCCGGGAGCAGACGTTGCACTGTTGTTCGGGGTGCTGCCAGAGGCAATAAAGTGTTGTGTATTTTGCATTAGAACACTGTCTGTTTGCCACGCCGCGCTGAATGCCTTATTAGTTGAGCGCGTGCGGAGCGGTGCGCTACACGCGAGTAAATGGAGTCGCGGCCATGTGGCTCGCTAAGCGTGAACCCGCAGTGATCATCCGCTGCAGTTAGTAGCGGGGTCGCCATATTGGCGCCCAACATGGGGCCCAAACCCACGACCCTGGGATTAAGTCTCATGCTCTACCGGCTGAGCTAGCCAGGCCTGGTCGCGAGTGTTAGGGCAAACTTCGTACGCGTAGGCCTACGGCAAGTGCGGCTCGGTGTGGTACGACCACTTCAAGCACTAGGCACCGCTGTGCGCTTCGCGTACGCTACCGAAACTAGCACTCAAGTAAACACGCCTGCCGAGGTGCCCAAGGCCACCCCAGGCAGGCTACAGTCCGGCGATTCTCAAAGGGGACGTGGACAAAGGAAAACATGTGCTTACCCGGCGCCGACCACGGAGGAGAGAGCTCAGCTCCCTCGACGCGCACGTAACCCGTGCCGCCTGCACGTGGTGCCATCTATCGCCACGTGGTGTTAGCAGAGCAGAAAAGCAAAAGGGTGTGGCCGTGTGGCGGAATGCCCGCGAAATGGTCGCGGGTACGCCTCAGATCCCCACAAGTTGTAGTATTCATTCGGCCTCAGTTGGTGAAACTTTGATGCATGCTTTCTGCACAGCCAGCATCCCTTATTGGTCCGTTCACATGTGTTCAGAGTTTTTTTTTTTGACCGGGGGATGTTCAAAGGGATTGAGTTGTTCCTCGCTGTAAAAACATCAAGCTTGTCGTTAAATGTATCAAATTATTATTTTGCCCCCCATCCTCCTTTCGAAGGTTTTACTAATTTCTGTGTTGTCAGGTTGGCAGGTAGGAGGTCTGTTAGAAAAGTATCCGACCTTTGATGGAAGAAAAGAGAAAAAACTAGCTTAATTAGAGCATTGAAAACCTAATCCTCTTCAAAGCAGTTCCCTTGGGACTCCACACACTGCTCTTATGCTGCCATCGTTGGAAATATATGGAGAAAGCCTCTTTCAGAATGGATTTTAGCTTAGCTGTTGTTGCAGCCATAATGTCCACTCTTATCTTAAATCGCTCTCCTTTCAAAGTCTTCTTGAGTTTGGGAAACAGCCAGAAATCGCAGGGGGCCATATCAGGAGACTAAGGAGCTTACTGAACTACAGGAGTCTGACTTTTTGCCAAGAAATTCTGAACCAAGTGTGAAGAATGTGCAGGAGCATTGTCGTGACAGATGCGCAAGTTTCCTGTTGACCACAACTCGTGTTTGTTGCGCCGCACAGCATCACGTAGGTGACGGAGGATATTCCTGTAGTATGTGATTGTTTGACACTGTGGTGCGTACTCGTGGTGTACCACACCGTTTGAGGCAAAGAAAGAACTCAGCATCACTTTGACGTTGCTGCGTACTTGGCGGTCCTTCTTTGGTCTTCAGGACGTGGAATGAATGCCTCCACTGCGACAACTGGGATTTGGTTTCAGGGTCTCTCTTCATGGCCAAATCTTCAGTCGTAATGGAATGTGCAAAGAAAGTGCTGATGCCCACCTCTTCCGCAATTTCACAGTTATTCACACGACTGTGCGGCGTCACCACATCATTCACTTCGACAGTGACCTGATCATTTCGACATATTGATGGCCGACCAAAGCGTGGCTCACTCACCCCAGATATGCGGCAGTCTTTAAACCAGTTGTACCACTCCTTAATGTATGTGTGGCTCACAGCGCCGTAACCGAAAGCAGTCTGGCCCAGTTTCTGGCAAAATTTGATGCAGTAGCACTGCTCCAGTCGCTCTGTCCTTTTCCTTGCAATGAAAAACCGATGGGAGCACTGCGCACTACCTCACTCAAACGCTGGATCCCAGCGAGTGACAAAATTCACAGCTTCAAGGCTGGCTGATGCAAGCGCACTTGTTTCAAATTCATCAGGTGCTCACAAAAAGAAAAAGGAAAAAAAAAGGCCGGATATTTTTCTAACAGCGCTCGTATGCTAGTGCTTTTTTTTTTTTTAGTGTAGGGTGGATGTATAGTACGAAGATTTCTGGCAGGTTTAGGGAGCCAATGGACTGGAAGGAACTGTTGGTTTGCCATTTTCTAGCCAACGGTGTAGAT